TTTTCCTGTTTATGGGTCATATTTTCCTGCTTCTTCATATGTCTAATAACTTTTGATTGGATATCAGACATTATCAATTAATGTGGTTGAGTTTAAGATATGATTGTATTTTCCTAAAGAGTACTGGTGTTTTTCTGGCATTCTGTGGCAGCCACAGAGTTGCACCACCAGGACCTCCCTTCAAGACAGAACTTGCCATCCATGTGCAAGAAGTGTAGTTACCTGACAGCCTCCAATTGTTAGCATTTTCAGGATGCTCTTCAGATTTTGAACCAAACCAGAGTCTCTCCAGGGAGACCCCATCCAGTGACTGAACACTGAGACGGGACTAGAGGCTGGCCATTTCTGCCCACTGGGGACTCCTCTGATGCACAATCTTTGCTTCAGCCTGCCGTTAGGTTGGTTGAGACTTTGTCAGATCTGCATAATGGTCTGAGACTCTCAGCTTCTCCCTTTCCTTCCACAGGTATCAGATCTGTATCACAGTCTAATGGCTTTCTGTGTCCGATCTTACTTTCTTCTCCTTTTATCTTTCATAGATGTCACCTCTAAGAAATCTATTACACTCCTAACTCCATCTCAACATCTCCATCCTGGAGGACCCAACAAACACACAACAGTTATTTTTGGATTGGTTTAATCCTTGTGATGCTTTTGTTTAAGCTCTTTTATGGCAAATCTTGCAAAGTCTTTAATCTATGGCTAATCTAGCCCCATTTATTAGGTGTGGCCTTTCTAGAGTATCTAGTTAATGTCCTATATATTAACAAGTTCTCCCCACTCTGGCTGGAGGAAAATAAAATGATTCCTGGTGCAGTAGGCTATGGGAATTGTACATCTTACAACATTGTGGTAATTGTATTTTCCTTAGAACATGTCCTTGTCTTGTCTCACGGGGTTTCACCTATACACATGCAGACTTACATTTAGCCAAAGGCTCAAGGGAAACCTTTTCCAGATTTACGGAACTCTTTCTTTGCATAGCCCCCTCTTTTTGGGAAGTGTACGCTACAAACTCTAGCCACCTCAATTTCCTTGAATGCCAATGTTGGTCCCCTCAAGTCAGTAAAACTGCCAGGTTCTTTTTGGATTCCTCTCTCTGCCCTGCAGTATGGAAGTTGCCTTCAGATGAAAGCCTGGAATGAGACAGGGCTCATCTCATTTATTTCTCTTCTCTCAGGAATCCAGGCCTGTACTGTTGTTGTTCAATAACTGAAAATAGTTTTGTCCAGTTTTAGTTGTTTCCTGTAGGAGTATAATTCCAGACTCTGTTACTGCCTCAGGGCTGGAAGCAGAAGTCTTGAATTATAAAAATTCTGGCCCAAATGACTTAGTAATGATTTCATCAAACATCTAAGGAAGCAATAATACCAATCTTACACAAATTCTATAAGAAAATAGATGAAGAAACACCCCCAATTTGTTTGATATGGCTGACATAATTCTCATACAAAAACTTTTCAAGGATATTACAAGAAAACCACAGACCACTATTCTTGGTAAAATTATGCATAAAAGCTTAAAAAAATATTAGCAAACCAATTTCAGCAATCTATAAGGATAACGCATCTTGTCCAATTGGGGTTCATCTCAGGAGTCCAAAGTTGGTTTAAAATTTGAATTAATCAATGTAATACATATAGTAACAGATTAAAGAAGAAATACCATATGACCATCTCAACAGATGCAGAAAAAGCATTTGTTAAAATCAACGCATTCATAATTAAAGCCATCAGAAAACTAGGAAAGGAAGACAACTTCCAGAATCTAACAAAGAGCCCTTACAAAAAGCCCACAGTTAATATTAGGCTTAAGAATGAAATAGTAAATGTCTTCCTTCTCAACTGAGTGAGCTAAGAATGCTCACTCTCACCACTTCCATTCAACATTGTACTATAGGTCCTAGTCAGTACAACAGGGTAAGAAAAAGAAATGAAAGCAATAAAGTATGCAAATGTAGAAGCAAAATATTTTATTTCAGGAAGGCATGTTTGATATGTAGAAAATCTAAAGGAATATACCTAAACAAACAAACAAAGAAGAACAGCAATAAAACTTAATACCATCAGTATAAGTAGGCAAAGTCAATATATAAAAATCAATTGTGGCTACATATATTAACAACAAACTGGAAAAAGAAATTTTAAAAATCCTACTGTTTACAATAGCATCAAAAATATTAAAAGCTTAGAGATAAACTTAATGAAAGATGTATAAGACCTCTATGCTAAAAATAATAAAACATTGCTTACAGAAATTATAGAAGCTAACTAAAATGGAAAAATGTAGTATAGTCATGGACCAGAAGACTTATTATTGCTAAGATGTTAGTTCTTACCAATAAAAATTCCAACACGTTCATTTAACAAAATCAAGAAGTTGATTCTAAAATGTATTTGAAAAAGAAAACCTAGAATAGCCAAAAAATTTTTTAAAAAGAAGAAAGTTAGAGGACTTACTCTGACTTCAAAACTTATTATAAAGCTACAATAATCAAAGGCCAGGTGGTACTGGCAATAGGACTTAAAACACATCAAAGGAAAGAACAATCTAAAAACAGACTGACACTAATACGATTAAACAATTTTTGATAAGATCGCCAGAGCAATTTAATTCAACAAGTGATAGAACAAATTGATATCCATATGGAATAAAACAGACACTCAGCCCTTACCTCATATCATAAACAAAACTTAACATGAGATAGGCCAGAGAACTAATAAAAAAAGCAAAATGTATATAACATTTTTTAGAGGAAAATACAGGAAACTAACTTTACAACCTAGAAGAAGGCAAATATTTGAGATGTCAAAGAAATAATTATAAAAGAAAAAAATGATAAACTGGACTGCATCCAAGTTAAAACTTGTGCTCTATGAAAGATACTGTTAAAATGAATAGGCAAGCCACATACTAGAGGAAATATTTGCAATATCTATGTCAAGCAAAAGACTTCTATCCAGAATACATAAAGAATTCCTACTACTCAAGGAAAAAATTATACTACCCAATAAAAAATGGGTAACACATTTGAACAGGCACCTCTGAAGAAGATAGAAAAAGCACTTGAAAAATTTCTTAACATCATTAGTCATAAGATAAATCTAAATAAAAACTACAAAGACATACTACCACACCTTTTAGAACCACCAAAATGAAAATACTGATAACATCAAATGTAGCAGAGAATGTGGGGCAATCAAAATTCTCATACATTGCTGGTAAAAATTTAAAATGGTACAGTAACTTTTAAAAATTGGCAGTTCCTAAAAAAGTGAAATATATACCTGCCTTCTGAGTGAGCAATACCACATGCTAGGTGTTTACTGAGGAGAAATAAAAACATATGTCCACAAAAAGAGTTTGACAAGAATGTTCACAGTAGCTTTATTCACAATAGCCTCAAACTGGAACATTTCAAATGTCTATTAATAGGAGACGCATAGACAAACTGGTATATTCATACAATTGAATACTACTCTGTAATTAAAACACTTACATATACAAAAACATATAAATCTCTCAGATGTTAAGCTGAGTGAAGGAAAGTAGACACAAAAAAGGTCTAGAATAGACAAAACTAATCTATGTTGGTAGAAATCACAACTGTGATTGTCCTAAGGGAGGGACTGACTTGGAAGAGGCCTGACGGAACTTAATGGGTTAATGGAAGTGTCCTTTATCTTGATTAGGGTGTGAGATACACGGGTTTAGACTTCTATCAGAAGTCAAAGAACTTTACACTTAAGATCTCTAGGTAGGGCCCGCCCCATGGCTTAGTGGTTGAGTGTGTGCGCTCCGCTACTGGCGGCCCGGGGTTCAAATCCCGGGCGCGCACTGACGCACCGCTTCTCCGGCCAGGCTGAGGCCGTGTCCCACATACAGCAATGAGAAGGACGTGCAGCTATGACACACAACTATCTACTGGGGCTTTGGGGGAAAAAATAAATAAATAAAAAATTAAAAAAAAAAAAAAAGATCTCTAGGTACATTATACCTACAAAGCATGGAGTGGATTCTTGGTAGGGTAATAGCAGCCAATATCTCTCTAAATGTAAGACAAACAAGGAAAGCACTTACATGGGGAGTGATATTCAAAACTAAAATTTAGACTTTAGAGGCATGGAAGTCAGTCACGTATAGGCACCTGAAAGATCTCAGGTCTTTAAAAACAGATCCCTAATAAGATGGCTACTATCAAAACAAAAAACAGCCCAAACCAGAAAACAACAGGTGTTGGTGAGGATGTGGAGCAACTGGAACCCTTGTGCACTGGTGGTGGGAACGTAAAATGGTGCAGCTGCTGAGGAAAACAGCATGGCAGTTCCTCAAAAAATTAAACACAAAATCACCATGTTACAGCAATTCTACTTCTAATTCTTCTGTAGACCCAAAAGAACTGAAAGCAATGACTCAAACAGGTATTTGTATGCCCATGTTAATAGCAGCATTATTCACAGTAGCCAAAAAGTGGAAGCAACCCAAGTGTTCACTGACAGACGAATGGATAAGCAAAGTGTGGTACATCCATACAATGGAATATTATTCAGCCTTAAAAAGGAAGGAAATTCTGATACATATTACAACATGGGTGAACCTTGAGGACATTACGTTAAATGAAATAAGCCAGTCACAAAAAGGACAAATACTATAGGATTCCATTTAAATGAGGTATCTATGATTAGTCAAATTCACAGAGACAGAAAGTAGAATGATGGTTGCCAGGGGCTAGGGGGAGGGGATAGTGGGGAGTTACTGTTTAATGAGTACAGAGTTTCAGTTCTGCAAGATGAAAAGAGTTCTGGAGATGGCTGGTGGTGACAGTTGCTCAACAATGTAAATATACCTAATGCCACTGAATTATATGCTTAAAAATGGTTAAGATGGTAAATTTTATGTTATGTATATTTTACCACAATTAAAAAAAATAGATCCCTAAAAACATTCAAAGGTGTCAACGACCTGAGTCCACGGGACTTACTTTATCTGTACAGACTCACCTAGGCAGCTCTGACCTGGGAAAATCCTCTCTGTTGTCCATAGTTCTTCCCCTTGTTCCAACTTGCGGATCATATCGGGCTTAGTCATGTGAAACCCTGATAATAAAAAATGAGACTTGGTCTAAGCTGCTTGGGCTTCAAAACTATCGAAGAAAGAGAAAGATACAGCTCCAAGGCAGCAGACAAGGTACACATTAACGTCTTACCAAAGTTAATACCTTGCACTAAAGCAAGTAAGGATGGACTCATACTTTCTGTTAACAGAAAGGGATTCATCACCTCTGATCCCCGAATTTCAAAGTTCCATATGTTCCAGAAATTCTTGAAAGGAAATGCACAACAGGAGTTTTCATTACCTACAGAGATGAGGTGGCAATAGTTTTCCAACATGACGTCCCTGTAGAGGGTCTTCTGAGCAGGGTCCAGTTGCTGCCACTCCTCTTGGGTGAAGTCCACAGTCACATCCTTGAATGACACTGATCCCTGTAAGGGCACACTCTAGTTCATCCTAAAGTGATTGGAACTAGTGAGAACTAGATATTAGAGATCTAGTTCTGACCATGTTCAGTGGTCAGACTAGTTTTCATATTTTGGGTTTTATATAGTAGAACATTCTCTCTGAAAATACATTCATCTGTATTTACTTATTATCTCATGCTAAAAATATATGAGATCATGCTATTTGCCTTGAATGTGATTGGTTGCCTGGTGGACCAAAATGAATAAAACCTTGACCTTGCTCCTGAGAAGTTACAGGCTAAGAGAAAAGCATACATGTAAATACATACACTCAACAGATATTACAGATGCATTGACAGAACTATGTACAAGGGAAAGTGCTACAAAGTGAAGAAAAATTTCATTCTGTATTCCAAGGCTTCACTGAGGACATAAAAATTTTGCACTCACAATGATTTTGTTTTGTAGGAACACAGAGCATCGGCTTTTAAAATTCATGGGGAGAAGAAAATCAGTTAGTAAACTCAGGAAATAGCAAAAGGCACACTGTGTTAGGAGAGAGTCTTTGAGCTCTATGAAAAGAAAGGTATGTGGAGGTAGGCAGTGGGCATATTTATGGAATAATACTGGGTTTTTTCCTATAGAGCAGTGGTCTCAAAGTGTACTGAGCACACTGCCAACATATTTGTATTTATTTATAAATCATCAGTAGGCATTAATGGCAATCCACATTGTTAATGATTACTGCTCTTGAATGTAAATTGCTAGTATTTTCCTCCCTTTCAATATACTGTCTTGTACATTGCATTGTAATGCATACCCCATTTTGGGTCTACTGCTTTTGGAGAAAAATATCATGAAGAAACGTTAAGTCAGCACACATGTTATGTGATAAAATTTGTACTTTAGAGGCAACACTCTTGAAGACTAGCGAAAGCTTGAGGTATGTTAGGTGGGAAAGACAATTAAGTAACCACTGTTAGAGATGTCTCCTAGACTAAGGTGGATTAGTGGTCTAGACAGGGGATAACTGGTTGCTATGATGAGCTGCGAAAGAATTGGTCATAAATTGGTTGTAGAGCAGGAAATAAAGAAGCACAGCTCTGGGGTTATCTCCACAGGCAGGTAGATAGGAGCTGGGAGTGAGTAGAAAATGGAAATGAGAAACAGAAGAAAGAATAGGCTGGACCAAAGGAGGTAAGGAGGTAAACCTTGGAAATGTACTTGAAGTGTCTATGGAACATACAGGTGGTGATAGCTGTTGGAGGTTGGATATATGGTTTTGCCACTCTGGATAGAGGTCTAGGATGGAGAGAGGCATCTGAGGGTCATTGGAGTCAGATCAATATAACCTTTAGAGTGAATCTGATTGTGCATACAGAAAAAGAGATGGTGAAGAGAAGAGAACCCATTAGCATCTAGGGAAAACCAATAGTTTAAAGACTGTTAGATGAAGAGGAATTTTCTGAAAGAAAGATATGAAAATAGGTCAAAGGACTGCCTTTGGTTCAAAAGAATATTTCAACAGTGGACTAGCATATACATTACCTTCTCCTGCACCCACATATAAAAAAAATTAGAAGAAACTAAAAAGATAAGACTAAATCTATAACAGCATTGAAATACTGGAAAGGTTTTCACTGGCAGGCCACAGTTTGTAGGAATTGCTGGCAGACATGGATAAAATAGACAGGAAGATCAGAGAGGAGGCATGCAAAATTTCAATTTTCTATACAAGGTTGCAAGCAAATCTCTATCCTGAAAACCTCACAAAACAGGACATCTTACCACAAATTAACACCACGATCTACCAATTCTACCTCCCAACATATCACTGCAAAACGTAGTCAATGGAAATGATCAAGGTTTTTCCGAGTCTGCTCCTTGACTCCTCACAACTTAGATCTCAAATCAGTGTCTAGAGAAGACAGATTCACTCAAGTAATATATTCCCACTTAAGTCAAGATAATACATTTCTGTTCCAGCAGTACTTTTGTGATAAGACTGAGAAAGGAGATGATGAATGATATACCCAGTCAATATGTGAACACTGGCTACAACTAGAAGGTGCACTTGGGGAAGGCTTAAGTTTTTCTGGTTGGAATAAGAGAAACTGGGAACGGCTGCAACTAGGGTGAGGCTGGTGAGGCACCTAGGGTGCAAAATTCAAGGATGTACAGCCTGACATTTTGCACATATGCCACTTGCTTGCCTCACCCTAATCTGGGCCCTAGTGGAGACAAGTTTCACAGAAGCAAATCTCAATATCCAGGAAATTTAAGGATAGGGGAGCAAATGTTCATATAACCTGAAAACAAGGTATTTCAGAAAGAGAAGAAACATCATCTTACCTGAGGCATGGCTTTGAGATTTGCAAGAGATGAACCTTCTCTTTTGAGGTCTTCTTTTGGAACAGGAAAGAATCCTGAGATGGCAGAGATGGGAGGATACAAAGAGCCATGTGAAACCACATTTGACTTAGATCTCCCAGAATAACTCAGTTAAATCTGCATCAATATTCACTGTTTCAGCACTTGCCCACTCTGTGTACCCCACACAAATTCAAGATGGAGATTAGTGGGAAAATGGACAAATCCTGCTCCCTCACCAACACCAGAAACCTAGTCTCTTGGTGAGATAGAATGGATTCTGGGAATCTGTTGTAGCTTGGAGAGGGAATATTGTGCTTTCCCCTCTGCAGCTCTACCTTCCATCTCCCATGGAATACAGGTTTATTATATATTTCTAAATTGTTCTTCACGGACTTTCTACCAATTTACACTGTCACCGCAGTGTGTGAGAATACCTCCACATACACCGAAGAATGCAGTTGACAATAACTTTTTAATCTCTGCCTATCAGATATTGTAGTTCTAATTTACATGTTTCTTATTATGAGTGAGAAGAAGCTCCTTTTATTTCTTTTCTGTGATGGTATCTTCTTATAGCATGTCTATTTTTCTCACGGGTTTTTATTTCCTAATTGGTTGACATTATCTTCTTTTTTAATTTAGTAAATTAACTCTTTGTCTATTTTAAGTTGCAAATAATTTTTCTTAGTTACTCATATGACTATTAAAGCATTTTTGCCTTATGAAGATTTTTTCCCTGTATGTTTTGTTTAGCAATACGTATTATATAATCCATATTTTCTCAATTGATGTGAAATGCCATCTCTATTATATTTACATATCCCTATATACTTGAGAATATCTGGACCTTCTATTTAATTTCTCTACTTCATCTCTTTATTAATTCACCTGTATCACACTACTTAACAAGCATAGTTAATTACTGAAAATTAACTATTATTCATTATTAATTTACTAACAGCTAACTTAGGTATTAACTACTGAACAACACCTTTTAGTAGTACAAGTATGGAAATAGAAAAGAAATTGATCTTTCCACACTATAGGCTTCCAGGCAGAGAGGATAATATTTTGCTAAATGAAGTCTGAAGTATTGACTGCTACAGTATTTTAATTAGCAAAATAACTATTTTAATTACTACAATGAGACTGGCCTTGTGATTAAAATTACACCAAATACTTTTTATTATCTTAGAATGCCTGAAGAAGCTATTGACCTTGTCATCGATTTCATCCAAAAGCAGGAAACCTCACTCATATATCAGTGTTGAAAGTGCTAGGTATGGGTAAAAATTGTTTTTTCCTGTATGCTACTCATGGAACACTATTCATTTCAACACACTGGTTTTAGTTCGTCTAGTGTTTCCCTGAAATGAATCTTATCATCTGGGAATTATGAAATCTTACCTCTTCTTTTCCAATACTTATACCTCTATTTTCTTTGCTAAATTACTATTGAGTTACAGTTTTGGAGGCAGACTCTATGACCACCATTCGGATAATCAAATCTTACATACCTAACTAGACAGCGGTCATACAGAGTTTCTCAATCACAAAACCACCACAAATAATAACAGCAGGTTACAAACACATTCATAGTTACATTCAATCAAACGTATTTCAGAAAACCACCATCCCATAGCACCCACATGTCATTCACAACCTCAGACAGCACATTACATAATCTTGGCCAAGTCACAAAGTCACATCACAAATCACTTTCGTTTCTCCATAGTCACCTACAATCTCAAACACTGCTCACACCTAATCTAAAAATAGACACATGCAGAGACAACCCCAGGCAGCAACACGACTCCGTCCACTTTTCACACACAATCGGAAGCAACATCCCAGAGCAGCACGAACTGAAAACGCAGCAGGTTGGGCAGCGGAGGCCGCCTCTATTCGGTACGACCGCACACGCGCGCGCACACACACACACACACACACACACACACGCACTCGGCGCCCACCGTGTGAAGCTCTGCTCCCTGCGATGACCCTCCTCGGGGTCAAAACAAAATCCCCCCTCGCGGAGCTCACTCCAGGTCGCACTCGATTGTCACCCTCAGGGTCACGCCCACGGACCACGCCCGAGGCCCCGCTTGCACAGATCTGAGTGGGGGGCTACCGCGGGCCCGGTTCTGGTTCCCTCCTCAGAATTACGAGGCCCGGCTCGGACTCCCGGTTTCTTCCCTGGCCTCCCCACCGGGTCCCGCTTCCCTAGTCTGCCTCCCCGGGCCGAGCTCCCAGTTCCCTCCTCCTCCTCAGAACCCCAAGGACCCACTAGCCTCACCGCGGCCCACGGATCAGTCGTCTGCGCCTGCGCACTCCCGCGTGGACCGGCGCTCCCAGGAGTCTGCGGGGCGGCGAGTCAGGGGCGGCGCGGTCTCTGCTGCGGGCGCCGTTTGTGTCAAGTCCGCGCTTCTCCCTCTTGGTCTACGTTTCTCATAAGCCCTGAGAGAGCTAATGAACTTCGACCTCTGGTTCATTTTCCGCTAGGCTTGTGGTCATCGTTTTCCGTGTGGTGAGTTGAGGTGACCCGGGTCTGGGTGCGGGAGGAGCTCACCGCAGGACGCCCGGAGTTTCCCAGGCGCGCATGGGGCATGTGCAGGCAGGGGTCTCGGCCTGTGTGCGCGATTGTGTGACGGCGTCAGCGTCGGATGTGATTATGAGAGTGTATGTCAGAATGTGTGTGTGTGTGTGGTGGGCAGGCCCTGACTGGTTCCGGGACTGTGCGTGGGGGCGGGGCCTTTTGTACGACCGTGGTCGGCTGTGATTGTAAGGTGTGTCATAGTGTGACCGCATGATCCTGTGACAGCGCTATTGTGACCTCCTGGGGACTGATCAGAACTGGCCTAGTGCAGCTTTTTCACTTTTAGGAGGGAGGGGCTTGATTTTTTGCAGTTCTGGGGCCGAGGAATCTGTGGACAGGATCCCGGTGTGACTCGATCTCGGCCTGTCAAAGACTCCAAGGCCCTTGTTAGTCACAGAGGCCCCTGCTCTGAAGCGCGGCCTCTGCTGCCCTGCTTCCATTGCCCAGCCTAGCGCTTAATACACAGTAGGCATGCAGTACATTAAGTGTACCCTGTTCTGGAGCTAATCCTAAATTACATGGTTTCTTGCAATTTGTTGCACTGGGTTTTCTTTCACTGCCTCTGTCATTTCACCTTATAGCCACACTCATAGAAATGTTAGCTGCACAAAAATGGCTGTCAAAGGGGAGTTGAATATTTGAGATCTAGAATGAAGGTTCCAACTGAAAAAGCACAACTCTGGGGCTGGCCTTAAAAGCAGTTAAGTTTGGGCACTCTGCTTTGGTAGCCTGGGGGTCACAGGTTCCGATCCAGGGCACAGACCGTCGCACCGCTTGTCATAAAGTAGAGGAAGATGGGCACGGATGTTAGCCCAGGGCCAATCTTCCTCAGCAAAAAGAGGAGAATTGGCAATAGATGTTAGCTCAGGACTGATCTTCCTCTGTCTCTGTCTCTCTCTCTCTCACACACAGACACACACACACACACAGCACAACCCTGTGTTTATTATGGAGATTTTAGAGCTGAAATTGCCCTCAGGGCAGGGTCCTTGGAAGACATGATATTGAGGAACAAAGCATAGGATTCCTTCCTCCAAAGATTCCTTTTGGAAGCTCTATGGGCGCAAGCTGCATTTTGCAGATTCACAGCATTTTCACAGCTCTGTCGACAGGAAACTGCAGTGAACATAGAAACAGATTCCAGTCCCAGGCTTCAGTGAACCTGACTTTTCTTTGTGATACAGGAAAGGGTCAACAGTATTGCAGTCTTTCTCATACTTACATCCGGGTATGTTTAATATGGATGATGGAGGCTTGCTAGTGATGAAGGATGTGTTATTTAGCCTGGCTGGGCTCCAAGAAAGGCCTGCTATGTCATAATTCCCTTTTCTTTCCAAGTTTTGCTTTATTCCAAAAGAAGAGCTCTGAGAGGAGAAAAGCGTTGCAGTCGTACATCTCAAAGCCAAGCTGGAGGTCATTTTGAACTTTTTCCTTGCTTTATGAAATGCATTTTCTGTTTTTCAGGATATAGAATAACTTCATCTGAGATGCCCTGCCAAATAGTGACTTATCCATTTACCTGGACTCTAGGCCTTCTCTTCCTAGTTAATGATGTTACCATGAGGCTAGATTCCCTTCTTTCTCAGTTTCTCATCAAATGCCCTTCCTACAGTTAATTTTTGTATGACCACTTGTCAACGCCTTCCCCTTATGCTCTTTTTGTCTCGTGATGCAGAAATAGTCCTCCTTTATACGGTGATTTAAGAAAGAGACCAATGCTTACATAGAATTACACATTAGTTACTTTAGATATTCTTCAGAGACATAAGTGGAAAAATGGCAAGGTAGGAGATGGTTTGATTGATTTCGGTAAGTAAGTAATAGTTTTCTGTTTTGGAGGTAAGAAAATTGGGGTATATACAGAGAGATCTCTGTCAAGAAAGACAGGATTTTCTTCCCAGAGAATCCATGAGGAGATTTATGTGATACCAACCGGTTCTTATATAAGATTTGGCAGCATCAGTTTTTTTCAAGTCATATAATTGTGTCGACCAAGAGACAGTACTGTATAATGGTCTCTAAGTCTTGAGCAGGGGTCAGCAAACTATGACCCTGTGGGCCAAATCCACTTGTAGCCTATTTTTTGTATGGCCTGTGAACTAAGACTGGTTTTAACATTTTTCAATAATTGACAACATATCAAAAGGAGAACAATAATTTATAACGTGAAAATTATATGAAATTTAAATTTCAGTGTCCATAAATAAAGTTTTGAATTTTGTCAATAAAATTTGTGGAGGGGCTGCCCTGTGGACTAGTGGTTAAGTTTGGTGTGCTCCACTTCAGTGGCCTGGGTTCACGGGTTCAGATCCCAGGCACGGTCCTACACCACTTGTCAGCATGCTGTGGTGGCGACCCACATACAAAGTGGAGGAAGACTGACACAGATGTTAGCTCAGGGCTCATCTTCCTCAAGCAAAAAAAGAGGAGGATTGGCAACAGATGTTAGCTCAGGGCTAATCTTCCTCAGAGGAAAAAAAAATTTGTGGAAATTTGTGATCTGTGTTGTTATATGAGCACCTACATAATATCCTTGATTTTGCCTTTTGGCCCACAAAGCCTAACATATTTACTATCTGGCCCTTTACAGAAAAGTTTGATGACCCTTAATGTAGAGTTTCTGAATTAAAATCTTGGTTTTGCCACTTAGTATTTGTGAGTTTGGGCAATATATTCAATATCTTTCTGTTCCATAGTTTGTTGCTTGTAAAATGCAAATAATAATACCAATTTCAAAGAGTTTTTATGAGGATTAGGAGACTTAATAGTAACAGAGCACTAGAACAGTGCCTGACAATAATACGTGCTTAAATTAAAAACCTGTTATTTTGTAGATATTCTAAGTCATTCCCCATTCATAGATAAAGAGCAATGAAAATATGAAGTCGATAGTAATGGGCACTTGTAAGTAAGAAAATGAGCTGTGTGCTCAGATGGTCTAGAACAGGAATCCTTCATCTTAAATGATTTGCCTTGGAATTGTAAACCAAATTATTGTATATTTATTTTATTAATGCATATTTTTCCTGGGGAAAAACTATAATTTTATGAGACCGTGAAAGGTATACATGACACAAACAGATTTTGAACCACTGACCTAGAATCAATAGCTTACACCTGGAAGTGAACTTTCGGAGGAGTTTGTACAAAAATAATTTCCTGTATTATATAAATATTAAGTTAATTACATTACATCTAGGTGATTAATATTATATAGATAAAGAGATTCTAATATAAAAAATATAAAATGTAATACTATGCAATATTCATGTTAATGAACAAAAAGTACACAATTGCTAAATTATAAATCAGTTTAACTATTATAGGAATTTCTTAGCAATTTTTCAAGGATTATATCCAATATGATACATTAATTGGTCATTCAATGGAGAAAGTCAATGATAAAGTTTATTTATCCACATTATTAAGCCTTTATTATGGACCAAACACTGTTTAGTCTGAAAGTGTCACTTATCTGAATTGTGCTTATTCGCAGGAGAGTCTTAACGTGGAAAGTGTCTCATTATGTTGATGAAATACAGGTAAAAGAAGGTACAAGGCTTGGTAGGTGTATTTATTTCAGTCACACTGGTTTTAGTGCTGTTACCTGTCATTTTGCCAGCCTCTTTGCTCACAGTTTTGCTAATAAGTAGAAGATAGCCCTCCCTACAACTCTTTTTAGAAAAAATGCTTTAAATAGAAATAGGTGTTGATATATATTCCTGATGATGGAATTAACACAGTCTTACTGAAAAAAAATTAGTAATCTAAGTTGAACTTATAAAATAGAAAGTTAAAGTACTCAGTTTTAGCATCCAGAAATAATCACTATTAACATTTTGGCGTACGTTCTTCTAAATTTTTCCTTGTGCGTATGCTTATATGATTTTGTTTTTTCAGAAAAGTTCATACGGATTGGTTATTTAAATGAGAAAAGACCTCTCTAACTCTTAGTTAGAAAAAGAAATTCAACCCAGTCATTTGTTGGGTTGAACATATACTTCCATGTATGTAGTGTCAAATGACAAAACAAACAATTTAGTAATGAGTTTGATGTCCTTTATTCAAGGGAAAACAGTCTGTGGATTGGAGGAGTACAGTGCCTCACAAGCAGTGAAGCATTCTTCCAAAGGGATTTTGGGCAAGAGAGTTTTATAGAATGTTAGAAGAGGTAACTGGGAAACAGGGCATGATTGGCTAGGAGGTCAGGGATTTCCTAGGCTAGCAGGTCCTGTTTTCTAGGGTAAGGAAGCTAGCTAAAGCTGAGTTGGAGGATTGTGATTGGTGTGTGTTAGGTTTCCTCGATAGTGAGATGTTTCCCATAAGTGCAGGCTGATTTAGGCTTGGATTTGTGATTGGGCGGGTCCACTGGGGTGGTCTCCATTTTGTGGGTCCTGATATATGAATTAACTTTATTAGTAGGGATAAGAAGGAAGTGACAATGATGCCTAACTGATTTGACAAAACTTCTGAGTATTTGCACCTTTTGGAATTATACAGATATCAATTTATGCATAATTCCCAGAAAACAAATTATCAGGTAAGGCTACTCATCATTATGTATTTAATTTTTTTTTTTTTTTTACAGATTGACATAACTTTCAGAAGACAGCACTAATATCTCAAGACCAAATGTCTTAGGAGATGCCATTATATAAGTCATGCTGACAAGGTGGGTTTATAATTTCAGATAACAGAATTAGATATTAGTAGTTATAAATATGCATAAAAGTCTGAGTTAGGGAACGAGATTGAGTTTTGTTAATATTTTCAATTTGTTACCTAAATGGGTCAGATTCTCTGAACTAG